ATTATTAAGGCCCCTACATTAGGCAAACCTTCGCCTTCAGCGGGGAAACCCCCTGAATCCGGTACTTCAAAGCTCTAGGACTTCCAAACCGCAGCACTCGCCCCCAGGTTTAGGGTTTAGGGTTTGGTTAAACCGCCGTCACATCTGCCAGGGCCACCAACCCGGGCGCAACTCGAAACCTTAACATCCCCAGACTAAACGAGGGCTTTGGGTTTAGGGTCTACCTCAACCCTAAATTGCCTGAACGCCAAACCCTAAAACCCAATAGACCAAATCAACTTTCCAACAGCCTTAGTTCCCGAGTACTCAACCTTTAAACTTTTGGATTCTTATAGTTTAGTAGTAATCTGACAGTTTAACCTTTTATTTCCCTGGCTTATTGGGGAAGAAAGAAGCATAAACGCTTCCCTTGGCGACGTACTCCAGTTTAGGGCTGGGCAGAGAGGGAGGGTTTATAAGGTTTGGGGACTAGGGTTTACCTGAGGATCCAAAAACCCAATCGTCTTAAGGGTTCTAAAACCCTAAACCCTAAACCCTAAACCCTCTAATTAAGAGGTCCTGACCTACTGTGTTGAAGGGTTTGGGGTCGCAGGGAGGGCTGAGAGCTTGGAACCCGAAACCTACAGTATACCCGTAAGACTTAAGCCCCAAACCCTAAACCCTAAGCCCTAAACCCCTAACCCCTAAACCCTAAACCCTAAACCCCTAACCCCAAACCATAAACCCCAAGACCTGGACTGGGCATGTTTAACCCCAAGGGTTTGCAAGCGCACCTCCCATGGAATCGAGGCACCACGGTCACCTCCACATCTTCCACCGTCGCGTCCCCAGCAAATACCCTAAACCCTAAGCCATACATGGGTAGTTCTCTAAATTAGGGTCCCGTTTTAGGTCCCCAATATAGTACGGCACCCGTATAGAAAAGGACCCTAAAAGGGACCCTCATTTAGAAAACTACCCACATGCTAAACCCGAACACCCTGGATCCTCCCCTGGCTGCGGGCAGTCTGATAACAGTGTTTATATGATGAAGCAGAATCCTAGGGTTTAGGGTTTAGGGTTTAGGGTTAGGAGTTGAGGGCATCCTACATGGTTCAGTTGCAGCTACGGTCAAAACACAGCTGTCATGCAGTAACCAGACCTGCTCCCGTTTGGTGGAGGCTCCTTCTCCTTATTCGGAAGCGGCGAAATTGAGATTTATGTTTAATAGTGTGGTTTGACAACTTGATGTTGTTTTCTCTTGGGTTCACTAAAACCGCAGTAAACCCTAAACACAAGTGCCCTATTCTCGGCAAGACAGAAGGCATGGGCTAGCATGGTTAGTGTCCGGAGGTACATAGACATAGGTTCCGGAGGGTCCAAGGGCTTTGGGTTTTAGGGTGTAGGGTTTACAGGGTCTAGGGTTTGGCAAGTACTTCTGTAATTGACACACTCTTCAACCTCGATTCCTATGCGGTGTGAGGCTTTGCGGCCAGCCACGGGCTTTAAGTAAATCCTGGAGCTGAGCCCTAAGCCTGAATCCCTAAACCGTAGACCCTTAAACCCTAAAGCAAGAACCACTTGATTCGAAACTCGCGCCCTCAAGCCTCATCCGCCTTCAGTATACCGGGACTAGTATCGAGCATCCCTTTGGCAGGTTGTACTTGGAGGTTCATGGGTAGTTATAAGTGGGGTTATAAGTTCCCGAATATAATATTCCTTACAATTACAGTTACCCTATAGTTATAACCCTACTTATAGTAACTACCCATGAACCTCCAAG